ACACACCCATCCACACTGCAAAAGCAGCACTCTACTAGTTTCCGCTAGACTTGCATCCTGTCCATTGACCCCCTCAGGGTAGAACTGATAGCTGCTAAAACAAGCCCAAACTCCATCTGATTTAGTCCCTAGTAATTCTGCCTCCCCCCCCCCCATATTCCTGACCTTGCAGAGAGCAGATCAAGAATCAGAACTCTCTTCATTCAAAGTGTTCCTCACACAAGTGTTAAATCTGGTCCCAGTGTCCCAGTGATCTCATTGGTGTCCTCATCCCATGTACCCCTGGACTGGAGCAGCGCATCCCTCCATGGAGCCAGCGCCTCAAAGTGGTGCTGGCAATACAGTACTTGCCTCTTCCTGTTTGTCAGCCCTGGTTCAGGTATGCCCCTCGATTTTGTGATGCAGGTGTGTTCTCCACCGCCAATTCAGACTTCAGATCTGTTCTTTGTCGCCAGCAGCTGGAATTCTAGCCAGCGGCTCCAGCTCGAGGCCGGATCAAACTCTGGACTACTGAAAGGCAGGTGAAGGGAGGATGAAAGACATGGGGTGGAATCCTGGGTTGCAGTAGCGGAGCTGACTGTGCCGAGGCAAAAGTATACAAGGTGAAGCTTAATATATGGACTGGATTTCTAAAAAATATAATTTTCCCTGTGGTCTCCCACATACTGGCAATGGGCATAGCACACAGGTCAGTGTGCCTCTTCTGGCCTTTAAGCCTTACATTGCTTCAGGGTTAGACAGCTCTGACACTGCTTGTGTTCTAGGAGAGCCTGGACTTGGGGAGGAAACTGTTCAAGTTCAGTGTTCTCATCCATGAAGACGCTGTCTGGTCTTGCTGTGCATGGCGCTAATTAGGGGGTCATCAGAGAAAGAGTTGCTGTGTTTGATGCTATTGGCAAAGAAAGAGAATGGAGACTAGTTCAGTAGGGATTTTTTTCTGAACAGAACATTTGGTATCTTGAAGAAGGAAGCGTATTTGGTGATTTTTCTTGAACTCAGAGTGGTCTCTTGGCTTCCCAGATTTGCATGAGTCTCTTGCTATTATCTCTGGTCTAATTCTCAGTTTCAGAGGGTGTGAAGGCCCCTCCTGCTGTGCTGTTTATCCTTCTCCTCCCACTTCCTTTCTGCTCTCTTTTGGGAATGTTCAATCATCCCATACTTTCCAGGATGGAAAGGCATCTTATAAGTCAAGTCTTTTTCTCTTCTCTCCATGTTGCTTTTCAAAGAAGGAGATGGTAGGTGTAGTAGGGAGGAAGTGAGAAGATGCCATTTGGGCCAAGGTGTTGAGCCTCCTGGCCCAGTCACCAAGATCTGAACAATATCAGAGAGCAGTTTGCAAAGGGTAGTGGGGGAGGCAGCATCCAGGAAGGGAAAATTTTGGCCATGGCAGAGAAAATTAGGAAGCAGCAACTTGACCTTCACAAAAGGCTCTGTCTTCTCTAAGCAAAGACTAACATGTAGTACCTGCTTCATGTAGATTTTCTAATAGGTCAGATGTGCTGCTGGAAGGACTATGACCCACAAAATGATACAATTCCAATCCGAGTACAAGTGCCAGGAACCAAAAAATTAAGAAGCCATTGTCAGCCCATAGTGTAGTATTTGCTTAAATACATGATCACTGTAAAAGCTCAGGCCAATGCATTGTGTCTCCATTTATACAACATATACCAATCTGGAAAAGGCAAATCTGTAGGGACAGAAAGCAGATCAGTGGTTCCCAGGAGCTGGGAGCAGAGGAAAAGATTGGCCACACAGGTACAAGGGAAATCTGGGGGGTGATGGAATTGTTACGTGTGTTGATTATGTGGTGGGTGTCTGAATATACGCATTTGTCCAAAGTCATATCATTCATTAAAAAGGGTGAATTTTACTGTCTAGAAATTTAAAAATATGCTAAAGCCATAGAACGGATTGAATCAATCAAATTTAAGGACAGTTTAAATCCCTGCAATTGCTCCTCTTTCTCCTTCATCTCAGAAGGTTCTGCAAAGAGTGTGATGAAGAGTTGATTCTCCGTAGAGAAGCCACAGTCATGAGCTTGGAATTTAACAGTGAAGTGTGTGTAAAGCCCAGCGAACAGCACATGCTTTGCACCATGCTGGGCCAAGAGGTGGTCAGCAACACATAGCATCCCATTTCTTTTGTATTCTCCATCATGGTGATCAGAGATCTGGCTCTACACAGGAGATGAGAAAGAACTGTGGCAAAGTGTAGAGAGATGCACAGGAAGAAGGGCCAGGTCTTGGACAAGGCAGCAGAAGGAAATGCCTGCTGGTCTGAGGAGAGCAAAAAAGACAGATGGGGGATGGGTGCTGAGTGCAGTGGATCTCACTCTTGGCTTCACAGAGAAGTCATCTGATGGTGCCTGATGGCCTGGGGTGGTCAGAGAATCTGCAATGGTTAAGAAGCTTCCCTGCTCCTTCTCTGCAGTGGCCCAGGGCCAGTGCTGGGCATGTGGGTTGGGGCTGAGATGGTTCAGGGAGAAGAGCTGATGAGTTCCTGCAGTCTCCGGCCACATCGCTGGCAACTTAGCTCACAGAGAACACAGTAAGCTCTCCAGGGAGTAGCTTCGGCACATTGTGTCAGGCCATCCCGTGGCTTCAGTGACCACTAAAGACTCTGGGCCTAAAGTGACTCCACAAAGAGAGATCTTCATCCACTTCCCATTAAGAATAAGGGGGATCAGCCTGGGGATTTAGCTCAGTGGTTCCAGCGCCTGCCTCGCAAGCGCAAGGTCCCGAGTTCGATCCCCGGTACCAAAAAAAAAAAAAGAATAAGGGGGATAAAATATCTCAGGGGAGAAATGGGTCAGGGACTTCCAAGCTGATTTTGCTAGCATACACTGAGTTTTCACTGGGGCCTGTGGATGCCGAAAGGGTAACTAGGGGGAAAGCTTGGCATCTCCGCTTTCACTGTGTCTCCCATCTCCTTTATTACCCTTAACTTTGGGCCAGCTTCCTGCTCAACTCTCTACATAGGTGCACTAATTACTTAAGGAGTGTCTGTCTAGAAACTGGTAATACAAGATTTATTAACTCTAAATTTACCTAACCTATCTCATCCCCCTATCAAGACTGAGAACACTAGATAAGAGTAACTAAAATATTCTCAGCATTTGCAGGGACATTGAACTGTCAGCTTTTACAGAGTTCTGTTCCAGACTCCCCGGACTATGCTGACATCTCCAGTCATTGCCCTAAACTTGCAGTCACCTTGGATTCTAGCAGTCTACTGACAGATTACTCCATGGAAAGATCACCTCCTAGGCAGAGCAACCTTCTCAGGGTGCCAGATCATCCCTGCAGTGATAAGGGCTTCTCTGGAGCCACCTAGCAAAATCAGAACTGAGATAACGATCACCCAGAGCCTAGCCCATCCCAGCAACCCAATAAGAGCTTGTGCCTTTCCATTGTCAAGAGGCAACCCATGCTTTGGTCTACCAGTGCTCTCTCCCCTTCAGCTCTTCTGAAATCCCTTCGCTTTTTTTGTGGGTGGGGGGTTACCGGGGATCGAACTCAGATCCTTCTGCTTGCGCAGTAGGCTGCAAACCCACGGAGCCAAATCCCCGGCCCTGAAATCTTTTCAGTTTATCTCTTCCTTTTGGATGGAAAGTTTGGCCTGCTCTCTTATACTTCTTAGCTTGACTTTCAGTTCCTATAATCACCAAGTCCAAATACCCAACATCCAGTATCAGGGACCACAAAGCCCAGGGTGACAGATAATTTGGCAGGAGAAAAGTCCTCCAGTGCACTGGCCTGACAGCTCTTCTGGTAGGAGGAGGCTGCTAGGATGTGGGGGGGAGGGCCGTCCCTGGGGCTGGCATCAGGGCCCCAGGGACTGGGGAGCAGAAGAGAGGTAGGCCAGCCACAAGGAGCAAGAAGGTGTCCAGAGCGTCCACTGGGAACCTGGCCAGGTTAAGAGCTGTCTGGGCTGCAGTGTCAGGGAAGGAGGATGGAAATACTAAGTGTCCTTATGCTATTTGTCAGCAGGTCCTTAGTACCTGGCACAGTGCCTGGGCACCACAGCCAATTAATGGATCTTTTTTTGTTTTTGGTGCTGGGGATTGAACCCAGGGACTTTGCCCTGAGCTACATCCCCAGCCCCTCATCCTTTATATTTTGAGGCAAAATTTGGCTAAATTGAGAAGTTGTCCAGGTTGGGTTCCAGTTTGTAATCCTCCTGCCTCAGCCTTCCAGAGTGTTGGGATTACAGGCATGCACCACCATACCTAACAAATGGTTCTTGAATGCATGAATAAGTGATTGCTACTCAACCTGAGCCTTCTCCAGTGTTACCTAACTTTCCTTAGAGCAACCTAAAGGAGAGAGACTGTCATCCTTTTCACCCCAGGCACCTTCAGTTCTCAGAGAAATGAATTAATTTACCCAAGTCTTGCAGTTGACAAATGGATATTTTCTCAAAGAATGAGCAAAGATCATCCAGTGGGTATCTTTCTTCACTGTTGCAATTCTGGCAATGGAGTTGAGAATTTTATATTTGAAAACATAAGAAAGGTTGATTTCCTAATAAATGATCAAATTTTAGGGTTAAACCAGTACTTTTAAGTGTTTGCCAAGGAATGTGAGTGTATCTCTCTCTTTTTTCCCCCTAGAAACCTGCATTTTATTGACACTGCATTTTCCTGGAAAGAAATCACCTATTTTGCTTTCAATGAACGAGGAACCACATTATATTCTTGAATCTTCCTTTGAGAAAAGTATGACATTCAAGTGAAAGTAACTGTTACATTTTTAAAAATAAAAGGACAAAGTCTAGAGTCCATCTCCACACCCTTCTCTACCAGCCCAATGATGAATGGTTCTCAGTTCCCTCAAGCAGCCTCCTCCTGACATTCTGGTATTGCTATCACAGGGACTGGAATTTTCAAGCAGAAAAAAAGTCTCATTGTAAGTGAGCGGCAGCCCAATGAAGCCAGTTGCTGTGACCACCAATTTCCCCTTCAATCCGTACTGTAGAGATACAAGGATAAACCACTGTTTTGGTTCCCAAGTTTTATTCAAGAACTCATCAAAAATATTCCAGACAAAGGAGTTTTAATCCTCATCTTCCTCCTCTTCATCCTGGTTAATCTGGAAGTAACGTAATTCGAAGCTCTCTTTGCTGTTTGCAACTATGCGCAACCAATCATGCAGATTCTTCTTTTTCAAATATCATTTGGTAAGGGCTGGGGATTTAGCTTAGTGGTTTCACCGCCTTCCTTGCAAGCGCAAGGACCTGAGTTCAATCCCCAGTACCCCCCGCAAAAAATTCTTTTGGCGAGAATTTCAAATACCTTTTGGAAAAAGGCACCTCGGAAGTCATGGTGATCTTGCTTTTACTCCTTTCCATGGTGACCACCCCTCCACCAAGATTCCCGGCTTTGCCGTTCACCTTGATTCTTTCCTGGAGAAACTGCTCGAAATTGGCAGCATCCATGATTCCATCTTCCACAGGATGTTGCAGTCAAGACTGAACTTCAGGACCTGCTTCTTTTTCTTGCCCCACTTTGCCACAGCTTTTTCATGGGCACCATGGCGGCTGAGGAATCAGAAAGGGCCGAGTGTATCTCTTTTGTATACAGGTTCTATGACATTAAGGTCTTTAATAGCAGACTGGGGACAACAGAAAGCTTGTCTCTATTTTCTTGCCTCTGGGAATTGTTTAAGTGACTTAACACTTGTTTTGAAATATGCTTATTATTTTTGACTTTTTCTTTTTCATCAACCAAATGGAAGTGTGGATTAGATAGAATCCAATCAGTACTTGTAGACTTCTCATTGGATAATATCTTCCAAAAGCAACTTGACCAGTCTGGTGTGGTGGTGCATGCCTGTAACCCAGCATGCTGGGAAGCTGAGGCAGGAGGATCACAAGTTGGGGCCCAGCCTGGGTAACTTAGCAAGATCCCATCTCAAAGTAAAAAAAAAAAAAAAAAAAAAATTTAAAAAGGCCGGGGATGTAGCTCAGTGAGGAAGGCCCTGGGTTCAATCCCCAGCATCACAAAAACCAACCAACCAATCAACGAAACAAACAAATAAATATAAAAAACCAGCATCTGATCTTTTTATTTTTTTTGGTACTGGGGATCAAACTCAGGACCTTGTGCCTGTGAGGCAGGTGTGGTGCCACTGAGCTAAATCTCCAGCCTCGATCTGTTTTTATAAAGCCATCGTTGCCACCACCTAGTAATATAAGAGATGCATTAGCCTCTGCACATTTGCAGCCTTCTTCCCCACAGTGGCTTTCTATTCTTTTTGTTCCCCTTTTCATATTTCTATAGATAAACCTAGATTAAACCATATCATATCATTGCATTAATATCACCATCTTATTAAATAAAGACTAAAATGAAGATATTATGTTGCATAAAATATATTTATACAGTGAAGCCATGAAATCTGTGAAATAGAACGGAACCAGTTGGAGATAACTCTGACACTGGATTCCAATCCAGCATTGATATTCTTTAAGTTTTTGAAGAATGGAGGAATAAAAGAGCTTGGTCTCATAATGAAAGGCAGATGTTTAAACCAAACAATGTAGTGGGGCCTGGAAATACAGATACTGGGCAGGAAGAGGACTTAACCCCTCCCCCAGGGTGGGCGTCCACCCTCCCAAGCCCCTTAGTTTTCAGCCCCGATGAAAGATACAAGAGCCTCAAGTTAGGAGGAACTGAGCACTAATTTCTTCTACAAAATAAAAAAGGTGAGATATTTGATAATTGTAGAGAATACTACAGTTCAATGTCTACAAAAGGCCAAAGTAATGTCAAGTCAATACAAATCTATAAAGCTTAGCAAATGCTCTTCTAAATATGAATGTGAATCACCAGAGGGAAAGAAAGAGCCAATGAAATGCATTAGCAGGCGGTTTTTCCTTGCATTTCTTTTAGAAGGAGATTATCCGGGAAGCAGGCTAAAGACTTTGCTTCTGGGGGGTTCTAATTCCTGCTCTTCTACACACACAAAATTAGAAGCAAGGTGTTTATATGCATTGCAGTTGGTCTCACTCGTTCCTCTGTGCCTGGGGGGATCCTGTCTTTGTAGAAGGTGGGTGTCAGGAGCTGCGTTGATCTGCCGCCTCAGAGTTGGGGAGCCCAGAGGAGGGGTGAGCAGTGATTGGCAGAAGACAGCAGCAGGAGATGGGAAAACTCTGGGTGCAATCTGCCACTTTCCCCATGCTCACTGCGAGGGGCAATAGGTCCTTTTTAATGGCCTGATGGAGCAGGCTTCATGGTCTTTTCTCTTGATTTAATTGTAGGCACTAGGGAGGGGACACAGTGGGATTAGCCGGCAGCACCTTTGCCGTCCTCTGACATTGCCTTGTGCCTTGAGAGCCCTCTCCTTCGGGGGCTTTCCCATGGGCTTCGCAGGGCCTGGCTGCTGTGTTAATTATATTTTCCCTTGGCTGACAGAATACAAATCAGCTTAGTCATGCTTCTATTTCTTCCAGACACAGTGCAGTGGTCAGAGCAGACACAAAGAGGAGCCACCTGACTCCCACACCTCCCTCCCCCAACTCTGAGGTTTCCCTTTCTGACAAGGACAGGCAGGCAATGTCAGCCTCTGCAGACGGTGGCCAGAGGTTACAATCAGAGCCCAGCTATCTGAAAAGCAGGTTGTTTTCAGGAGCTCTCTTTCCACTCTCCCTAGTCTTCCCCAGGGATTGCTGGGGTGCCCTGACATTTGCAGCCCCTCTCTTCTGGCAGTGAGCTCTTACAGATCTCTTCCTCCTTGGGTACCCATCCAGGAGCAGCACTTCCTGGGTGGCAAGGGCCGGCCGGCCCGGGGGCTGGCTGTGTGCTGGCATTGGGTATCCAAGCCTGAGTGCTGCTCACTGCTGTCACAGCCCGAGTGGCTGGTGTAGCCTTTGGCCCTTGCAGAAGTCTCTTGAGCTACTTCTCCTAACTATAGAGTCTCAGGTCCAGTAGCCTGCTATGACTCTATGGCCACGGCCATCCTCTCCCTGCCCTGCCTGGTGTTTCCTACCCAGTTTCATGGCTTTCCGGCCCACATAGCACATACCCTCTGTGGCCTTATACCAGGCCACAATCACTGCATGTTAGGCCACTGGATTGACTGTCCCCACACTGTCCTGAAAGGCTAAGAATGGACTGCTCTTCTTATGCAGCCTGTGTTCTCCCTTGGCCACCAGATCCCTCAGTGAGATTCCTGGAACCTGGGACCTTCCTTTCCTTTCGGCCCGAGATGATCAAACTAGAATTTCTATCCAATAAGAACACTGATAGTGGTCACAGTACTGTCACTTGTTAGGTTGGGAAGGCTGTATAATGTACTCAAAAAGTCACTAGAACCTCTGCTGTGGGTCATTATGTCATTCTTATGAACAATGCACAAACACCAGAACATTCTTGTTAGGTTGAGAAGAATATCCCAACAACCCTCTCACAGGGACGGAGAAGACTGGTGTTCATTCTAGGGAATGTTCTGGGACCCAAACCAGTCACAAGAATTGAGCAAGGTGCATTCTTTCTTGGGGCCTGGTTTTCTCACTAGTAGAGTGAAGGATTGGGACTTAATGGCCTCTCAGGTCTCTATGTGTTGCGTATTGCGACTGTATTGCGACTTCAGGCAGGACTGTGAGGAGGCTCTTTGTTCTCACTGCCACTCGCCACCCATGGGCCTCATTGTGTTTTACCGACTGCGGGACCAGATCAGTTGATAGAAGGCCCTCTGAAGCAAGATGTACTGGTGCCTATCAGGAATTTCAGCATTCCTGGAGGCTGAGACAGGAGGATAACAAGTTTACATCCAGCCTAAGCAATCTAGTAAGTGTCTATATCAAAATAAAAAATAAAGAAAAGGCTGGGCATATAGCTTAGTGCAAAAGCCCTGGTTTAGTTCCCAACACCACACACACACACACACACACACACACACACACACACACACACAGAGCTCTCCAAGATCCTGAGCCTGACTTTGGCATCTCTTCTGGTTGCAGGAAGTCCTTTCCTATTTGTGTCAATATATTTGCAACTGTCTCAGTGTGAATCACTTTCCCCTAGTCTGGTGACCTCAATGACATTGTTGAATCAAATTTCTGGAATTAGGTGTGAGTTTGCCCCAGTAGGTGTGATGCTGGGTTGTTTGGCCTTTCTGGAAGCCTTTTCAAGTGGCAGTGTGACCTTACGTTCTGCTCTTCTATGCAATTTCCAGTAGTAGGAGAAGACTCTCAAATACTCCATCAAATCCTCCAAGTCTCTTATCCTTGCATGAAAAGTGACGGACTCAGTGGCATGGATTGTAACCATGTCTGCTCAGAGTCAAATACAAGCGAAGAAGCATCAGTAGCCTAAGTGTGACATACCTGTTAGATGTGGCCATATGTGTGCACAGGTGACAAACAAATACTAGTTTAGAGCAAAGATACTCTGGGCAGGAGTCAGGACTTGGATTCTGGTCAAGGACCTGGTGTTAAGTATTGCTTTAGCTCTCCAAGTCTCAGCCTCTCCCTGGCTCGTATAAAGAATGTGGAACCAAAGTCCACTCTAACATTCTGACTTTCCTTGGTTTTAGAGAATTGTGGCATGGTCTTTCTCTTCATGCTTTGGATTTCAGGGGACTGCTCTCTGACCATGCGAGGCAGCCCTGCTCTTCCAGACAAAGCAGTGTAGAGAGAAATGGTACTACAGTGACAATTATGACAAAATGTTAAACACCCAGAAACTCACAGAGATAAAAGGGGAAGGGAATTATGTCCACCTGCTGAAATATTGTACAGCCACCAAAATATCAAGAGCATAAAAAAATAAGGCCATGTGTGCTACCGTTCACAAATCCATCCATTTAGCAAGCACTTCTTGATCACCACCGTGTGCTGCATGGTGTGTTTGGTCCCTCAGGATAAGGATGAGTGAGAAGACCTCGTCCGAGCTCCATCTGCTTCACGTGCTGAAGTTGTCTCATACTTTATTGTGTTTAATTTTCTCAACAGTCCGATCAGGCAGCTCTATGATTATTCCTCCTTCTATAACAAAGCCAGAAAATGTCGGAGCAGGAATATTTCAACCCAGGTTAATTTGACTCCTATAAAAAAAAGTGCTGCTTCCTCAATATTATTTCATTACATTTTTTAAAAAGGAACACATTAAACATAAGTAATTGCAAATGCAGTTTTACAGAGATGCTCTCAGGAGATTCTGTGAGCTTATTTTATACTTGATCTAGGCCCTGCTCCTTTTTCTGCAGATTGGTAGTAAAGCAATTATTCTGACAAACTATTCTACTTCTACCCTCCCCGTTTCTAACACTGAGCCCTGAAGCACCATCGAAAAAGAATCAACGGCCTGAGAGGCAGATCAATTCATGGCCTGGTTTAATTTTAAATGACATGAATAATGTTACTTCTCTCTTTTCCCCTGAGAACCCATTTCAATGTCTGGTTGATAATAATGTGTGAAAATTTTCTTACTTAGCAGGGAGAATATGTTTATTTTAGCATCCAGAACAGAGCACTGTATTTTGCTACTAGCTAAGTTTGATCTCAAATACTATATTACCTTAGCTGGAAGCAGAGGGAATTCAGAAAGTCTTTGCTCAGGATCAAGATTTAAAAAAAATAAACAGGAACTCAGTTCTTTTTTCTTGAATGCCAGGAAGCCTCTTCCCTGACCAGGCAAAGAATCTCTTTCCCTCTGCAGTGTTTTTTCACAATCAATTCTCCCTCTAAATGTGAGCCAAGCATCATATCATATCTTATTATCTAAAGGATAAAATATGAAGGTGAGGCATACAAAAACTGGAATTTTATGTCATACACAAATAAAACCTACGTGGCTTAAATATACATAGATTTAGGGCCATGCTATTGCTTTGCAATTTAAAAGTAATTATAGTAATTATGATTTTTACTCAGTTGAACTAAAGGATTGCAAAGGTTTTTTTCCTAAGTTTGTTACAGTTTTGCTAGGTTAAATATGATAATTTTCCACAAGTATTTAAAGCATAAAGACTCTGGTTTGACACAGATATGAAAGCACCCCGCCCCATACACCAAGAGCCACAGGTATTCCGTCAGAACTTTTCATGGGCTGAAGTGGAGGAAGTAAGAGAGAAGAGTATTGCAGTGAATCTCAAATTTGTTTTTAAAATTCTTTTATTGGTACATTTTAGGTATATAATACACTTACATTTATCATTGGGTGCTTGTACCTGTACATGATGTATCTTTGTTCTAATTTTTTTCCCCATTACCTGTGCGCCCTTCACCCCCTCCACCCTAACCCTGTTTACACAGATTTCGTTTCCATTTTTTTTCTTTTCTCATCATTTTTCCTTTCCCTTCTTCCCTTTCCCCTTCCCCTGTGAATCTCAAATTTGATCAAAATGCTCAAAAGATATGTACGAGGGATGCAGTTCCATTTTCTTTCTTTGCCCTTCCACCCCATTTGTGGATGCTGTCATGTGCAGGCAGGGTGGTCCTGGCTGGGGGATTTGTAACTACTGAGGGTTTGAACAAGGAAGAAGCTATCCCATCTACCCATTTCCTAGTCTGTATTTGCTCAGTATCATTGGGGGACAGGTGCTGGTCTGGGTGGGGACTATGGTGGCTCCTCAATCAATGTGGCTCCCACCAGAAGGGGATAAGGGCTTCTACTTGGTGGGAAGCTCCAGGAAGGGACCCTTGCCCAGCTTTGGGGGACAAGGGAAAGCTTCCTGAGTAAGTGATGTCCAGTCACAAGAGAGATGAGTCAGCTGAGAAATGGGAAGAGGAACAGTCCAGGCAAGGACCAGATGTTTGCCTGAGAGGATGAACACAGCACTAATGGCTACTGTTGGTGTTCTTTGACCCTGTAGTCCAGAGGAGCTGCTTGGCGGGACTACTGATTACAAACAAACCTACCAGAAGATTTGCCTCTTGACCATGCCCTTCAGATCCTCTTCTGGGTTCCCCCATTTGCTGGTGGCACAAGTCTGGACTCTCAACTCTTGAGTTCTGAGGCCATCTTAACTCCTGTCCTGTCTTTCTAAGGTATTATGACCACTGCCTATGTATCTGTTCTATCTACCTATTTTTAGATCTTCTCCATCTCAGCAATGGGAGGTAGTCCACCACTTGCTCAGTGCCTGGCCCACAGTGAGCTCTCAATTGCTGTTCGTGTAATGAATAGATCATGAAAGTTTTCCCTATTCTCAATTTCAGACCAACTAGAGGAAGCGTAGTAATCTGACCTAACCAATCATGCAGGATGCTAGGCTTCTAGTTACTCATCTCCAGCTACTTCCTGCTAATACCTCCCATTAGGCACACCCAAGATTTCCTTTTTTCCTCTATAAAGTTTTGTGCTCCCCATTGGCCTTTGGTTTTCTGCCAAACAGAAGTGATGATGGCTGAATGGCGCCACAGCAGGCTCTGAAGAAGTAGCCCTTGCTTGTTCTCATCTGGGTGCCCTTTGTTTAGTTCCACAGCAGTGGTCTGTAGTAAGATGTTATGGGATATGCCATTCTTTCGCAAATTTCCAAGACCCTATGTGTCTTCTGTCAAAACTCAGACAGATGTTGAATTCTGGACCAGTCTCAGGAGGTCCATGTGGGTGGACCCAGGGTTGAGAGGCTATGGCCTCCAGGAGAAGAGGAAGTGGGAGGTAATGAAAAGGGGTGCTCTTGGATCCAGAGAGCAGATTCTCTAACTCTGCTGCCATCTTTAAGTGTCCACATTTCTATGGTTTGGATAAGCATCCCCCAAATGTCCATGTGGTCTATGTGTTAAAGCCTTGGTCCTCAGGGCGGTGCTACTGGGAGGTGGTGACCTGGTGGGAGGTCCTGAAGTTATGGGGAACATGCCTTTGAATGGAATGAATCCCAGTTTCTTCTTTCCTTCTTCCTTTCCTCCTGGCTAGAAGGGAGCAGTTTATTCCATTTTACATTTCCCACCATTGATATCTGGCATACCCACCAGAGATACAAAGCAATGGATCCATGTGATCTTGGACCAGAACCTCAAACTGGGAGCCATGATAATTTTCTCTCTTTGTAAGTTACATATCTGAGGTATTTCATTATAGCACTCGGAACCTGACTAATATATAGACATTGGAAGCCCATAAACCTTGAGTAGCATCAAGTACAAAATATTCTACTTAATATAGGTGCAATTTGCTAAGCGAGAGCAAATACAGTCAGTTCCAGGAGACACAAATCCTCTGTAGAGTTTGGGATAAAGCTAACATCTGTGACACAATGTCTGGAATTTGAGGTCTATTTCTGTGGGGTGTGATTTGGCTGGCCACACAACAGTGGAACAACGAGGCAATTTATAACAGGGCTTTACTAAACAAGGTGGGTTGACCGTCGTAGTTCTGCCCTCTCATTACATAGTGATAACAGGAAAACAATTCAGTGAGGGTATTTGAAATGGAGCATGCTAAGAAGAGGCTTCAGGCCAGTTATTGGCAAAACTCGGAGAAATCTGTAAGCACTTCAGCAGAATTTTACATGTGAAAGTAGCCCTCCTTGGAAGCTGATGGGCAAGTGCTATTTCTCATTGGATCTCCAATACAACAAGGTAGAGGTGCACACTTATGGAAGGCACCTGAGAGGTGGGTCACACGCAGGCAAGTTCAGCTTCCCCTGGAGGGAGTCCAGCTGCCCTTCTCTGTGGTCTCATTCTTTTAGCGATAGTGTTTCCTTCATTCATGGCAAGGGGAAGATGGTTGGGATATGAGGTGTTTCTCTGGTTTGTTTTGTTTCCCTGCTCACTTTTCTCTTTGTGGCTTGGGAGTTTCTGTTCGCCTGTCTCAACCACACTGATTCTTGCCCCAGCCCTGTCCCACACCCTGATGAGCCCATCAAAATATCCTTCATTCTTTTCACAGTGTGATGATGTGTTTGCCTTTTTGTTTGAAGGTTGTATATGATCTACCGGGTAATAAGAACCAGGTTAACCAGGTAGCTTAAGGCTTTTTGGGGTGCTACAAGGTTGATTAGAAACTATAGTGTGTGTTTAAATTAAAAAATGATTACAGGAAAAGTCTCATTGCCATTAGTCTCCCTCAAAATACTCCCTCTTGCTTCAACACATGTATCGCACTATTCTTACCACTTTCTGAAGCAGTTCTGGAAGCCTTCTTTTATGAGGTCTGATAAAAAAAAAAATGGTGAATGCTGCTTCTGAGTGGCATCCAATGGAAGGGCAGACTCCTAAAACCATTATGATGTGTCCTTATTCACCTTATTCACTGGAGCTGGTACCATGTGACTTCTGGCTCTTCCATAAAGTCAAAATGATCATGAACGGGAAACATTTTGAATC